TATCGTTAAACAGTTAGAATTGTAGATTGATCTCTATTACTATGTAATACTTCTCTTCTTTGGTTTTCTTTACTTTCTCCACTATTTTGCGTTGGATATCGCTTTTCTAATCATCTTCTCTTTCTACTTATCTACACTGAGTTTTCACTCATGATCTGGTAACTGCATTATTTCTATGCACTATTTCGTGATATTATAGTCCTTTAAGTTTCTCAGATTGTGTATACTTCTACCTAATTTCAAAAATGTGGCATTCTCCCCTGAAATCTGACAGTGAATTTGTTGTATGACAGCTCCTGAATAGTAAAGGGCCAGTTGAATCGAAAACACATTAACTGGGGATAACCTCGATCTTTTGGAGTTTAAAAAGTCTAGCTTGAGCAGATGGGATGGACAATGATTCACGTTTCTTTCAAATTTCTCCACCAATGAATGCTTGTGCCTCTTCAACCGGAGCATCTCATATTTTGCAGTTTGACCAAATCTTTGGATAATTCGGACGTCCTTTTGTCCACCCTGAGTTTCGCATATGGACCATCTTCATTACCGCGATTTCAAAACGTTAATTTCATTCAATAAAAGATCCCGAAAATTAAAATTCCCAGACTGCTGTTGGGTAAGGCTACTTAGGTAATCCTCAAATTCATTCCTTGTCCAACTTGCATAATCCGGTTTACTCTTCTCATAACTCTTCATCACCTTGTGCCATTTGATACTCTCTAATGAGTTAGGATACTTTTTTAAAACTTTTTGCAATAGCCAAAGTTTCGTTGCAATACTCATCTTTGGCGCCTCAATCATGTTCTTCTTTGCATTCAACAGATTCCACTTGTAGCGGCATTGGATTCTCGAGCGCTTCCCATCCATACGTTCACTTACAACAGTCCAATTGATTTTAGATTCAGGTTTCTCCTCGCTCCCCTTCCCCTGTGACCTTATACTATGCAACATTTCATTGACAATAATTATCAATTTATTTTCCTCCTCCAGTGTCCATTTTTGCAATGTTCGTCCCGGCCCACATTTGATATAGTTTCTCCATCTATCTCGACAGTCTTCAGGCATTCTTCCCAATATCTCACCAATAGTCTTCCACTGACCCTCATGCGCAACAGACAAATTTCTCAACTTTTCATCATCTTCTGGACTCCACTTGGCTCTGACATCAAAGATGTGATACCGTCTTCTGATGTGTTTATAAATACTAGACTTTGTCCTATACGGAATTGCCTTGCATACTTTTTTCCAAAATTTATCCTTGGTGCGGTCAGTTGTCCATATTCGATTGCACAAGTCATTTCTATCCCATTTTTTGAAATGGCAAAAACCAGCCAAGTAGTAGTCAATAATCGCATCTTCATCTGCTACGAAGGGACGAGGCTTTCCTCTTTTCTCTTTGGGAATCTTCTCTTCAAACCATTTGTTTGCTGTTTGTGATGTTTTCAAAATCAAGTCATCAATATCCAGAATGCCATCATAGCTGTGCTTGGGAAGTTCTGGCAGCCCAACATGACCTGAATTCCCATTCAGAGGCACCCCTATAGATGGAGAACGAGCAAGGTTTTCATGTACATTGGTAACAGACGTTTTCTCATTGGCAATACCCTCAGGGAGGAGTTTTTCATTTCCGACATATGTTGGCACCATTTCCTCCTCCTCCACCATTGCATTAGCAGCTGTGAGCAACCTCTCTTGTTGTCTTTTGCTCAACTTTTCCAGAGTACTGCTGGAGAAATCATTCTGAATATCACGTTGGTCCAGATCGCCTCCTTCACTACTCAAAACTTTGACTCGTGCTCCATTCTGAAGCATTGCAATATCCTCGGCTCGTTCTAACTGGTTAGCCGTCGGACTGCCGAAGTTCGTCCTGTTTGGCAAATCGATCATTGATTCATGCGTTACACTGTCATGGCTGTATGAGGAGCTATCAACTCGCCTTTTCTTCGTTCTGGAGGACTCCTTATTGGATGAAATTTTAGCTACATTCGAGGTCGCTAACCTACGATGGCTTTGACGACCTTGATCGTGATTCTTTGTTCTTTTCTTTGGTTTCGATATTCGCAAAGAGTGAGGTTTAGGGGTATCTTGTTGAGCTTCCATGAACAGCGTGAGGGTCGTCAAGTTAAGTTTTGGTGTTGTAGTAAAAGCATTCAAAAAGTTCTCCTGTCGTACAAACTCTTTTCTTTTTTTTTTTTTTTTTTTTCCCAAAACACACCATGAATTGACCATAAGTCAACTGAGTCCAATATGGCATAAATACAGTTTCACCTTAACTTACGCATCAGTTAGCTAAAGCGGTAAGAAACTACACGAACCAAGATCTTGACCTTGCTACCCATTCAAGGTGTTAAATCTGGTGACGAAAAAGACAAGCAACTAGCCGTTTCCAAATTTTATAGCGGAGAGTCGACCGAGGCTGACAAAGAGGAAGTACCCTAAAGTTGGCCTTTTAGGGAAAGGATGAGATATAGCCAGAGCTAGCAACATGTAAGGGGGAGGGGGAAGTGGGGGTGGGGATAACACAGTGGATGTTTTTATCAGATGAAATACAATGGCCTTCCTTGGGAAAGCTTGTCCTAAGAGCAGCATAGTGTGGGATTTACAACGAATCGTCTTTGACCCATTGCTAATGAATGTCCGTTTCGGGAAGCTATACAGCTTTATGCTTGAAACGGACTATGGACTATAGGCGCTAGATGGAATTGGATTTATGCCCGAAGCATCCTGAAATACCAACTTGGATTTACGAATGAATTGATCTTGACGCATAGTCAATGGACGACAAAAAACAGCTGGTGAAACCTGTTTGACATAAGTGACTTTTGCCGGTGATGAAAGGTCAAAATAAATCACAATGAGGAGCTCACATTTGGCAAGTTTTACAGAGGAGGCGAGTTGATATTATCTTTTTTAACCTGATAATGATTTAATCCATCTCAGCAAGGTTGTTTTCATCAGCTTCAATGTAGATCAACTTGATAGCTGCTCATGTACATTCCAAGTCTAGCTGCTTACCTCTTTGAAAACGGAGTAGAGGAAATGTGTGGGGGAGACATTACGTTCCCTCCTTTGCTGGAATCCTATTGTGGACTACGAACTATAAGAATGGGTTGCAATTTTCTTTAGGTATCTATAGGGTAGCTCTGTTGTAGATGATATAGCTGTGTAAGACTCAAGTAAGAATGAAATGTGTGCCATCCTGTGTTGTATATATTTATAAATATACATACCGAATTCATAAAGACAACCCCGCCCCCCTCCCAAATGTAAAATCACACGTCGTTTTTAATGCGTACGGTGATGTAGTGTTGGGTATTTAATACCAAACTTCCTTTCAATTGACTACTCTACAATCATTTAGATAGATGTTACGATTCACCTCAACGTAGATGGTATAGAGTCAGAGTAACAGCAACTACAAGTAACAAGTTACACACGTTTAGCAAATCTTAAGATATTTTAGTAGTATTACTTCTACTATATAGGCCGAAATAATACTGGAAGAACCGATTCAAGATGTTCTGTAGTCAACAGCGGCGAATCAACAAGTTACACACACACACACACAATGTAACAACAACTCCTGTGTTGAAGCTTGGTCTCCANAAATATTGTCGAAAGGTCATAAACACAGCATGCTATGCATGCATTAAAAGAGATTAGACGAGTAGTCAACGTTATTAACCTTTGTAAACCAAGAGTCTGGAAGTGAGAAACTTGTTTCTCCCCCTCCCTTTACACATCAGATGAAATACATTCATGCCATTGTTTGGCAATAGGACTCCTTCTGCACATTACCAGTATTGACATTACCAGTACTAGTACTACAAGCGCCGTTGCGCAAAAAGGCAACTGAGATAAGTACAAATGCAAAGAAGAGTAATCGTTGGTTCTCAGGGAATCAGTAAATTACCACTTCTCAATTATATAGTTTGTTTCAGTTAGGTCATCAATATTTAAATGTCTACGTCTAAGTACTGTATATGTGACTCTTGAATGGCTTCCTATATATTCCAAGCTTTAATGACATTCGCCACCAAAAAACCGGGAGCGGGAGCACATGCCCTCATCGCCGTATGCGCACTTGTTATGAATGCACCGCTCTGATGTGTGAATCCAAAGTTAAAGTTTTTCGACAGGAGGTTGTAGCCTCGATGACCTAGTTTGAGTAACAGAGTAAAGAGAAGGTGTCTTGTCCAATAAAGAGTCTGCAGTTTCAACTCAATACACATAATGTGTCTTTGCTTTGTATTTTACCAACACGGTAAGAATAATGGACTTTCATTCAAGACCTGTGGCTCCCACAACGCAATAACAAAGTGGAAACTTCTTTACCTCTTTAGAATTTTGATTCAATGAGCTCAAGAGTAATTTACAATATGGCGGTTTCGTGTACCACCAACGTCGGATCGGATGGGTTCGACTAAAAAAAGTCTAGAAAAAGCCCAAAATCATTTCACATTAAATTTTTCAAAAATAAAAAGAGAGCACTGTTAGGATGTGATATCGAAATTGGTGATTAGTATATTGATTATAAGCTATAAAATGTATGAAGCTAAGGGTAAATGTACGACTATAAATACTAAAGACTCATAGCAGCACATTAGGATCAGTAATGAGGTTAGTAATGTGGGTGTAATGAGTTACTGATAGACTAGTAATGAGTTATGGCTAGTAATACATTACTAATGATGGTTCTTCCTGGCAAGCACAGACAATTGTATCTCCTCTTTTCGCATCCACGAGACCACCAGTGACAACTTTCAAAAGTTTTCATCTTCGTTGATCAATTGCAAATACTCGTAATAAAATGCAATAATCTGCAAATGGGAATCAAATCGTATATATTCATCGACCCCATGAGCATGGGATTCGACAGTTGTGAAGAGTCCTGGTCTGTATCTGAAAATGTTTTTGGTCAAGTTCCAATAATACCTGGTATCGGTGTTTCCAGTAGCTATTCCCGGTGCCACAATGACCGGTTTCCCAAAAACAACATCAAACACGCCAGAGTTGGATACTGTCGTGTTGCTTGGTACAAGCTGTTCGTACACGTGTCTGATGTTACCCGCAAAGAGCTCCCAAACTTTACCAACGGTTGGAGTGCTTGGTGCTGGTTCCAACTCTGAGACTCTGCGAAGGGTGATTTTTCCGTTGACAGTCTCATTACGGAGAATGTGACCCTCAGAGACCAAACCCAAGTCATATCTTTTAGCAAGATGTTCAGCATGTTGCAAGTCGTGACGGTACACATCATCAACACTTGACTCCACTGCAATACGGTGATTGATGACGGCTTCAACATACTCGGGTAAGGCATTGGACTTAACTCCACCATTGATGATGTCCACTGCTTGTGTAGATGAAATCAAGTAACGACTGAGCAACGACTTGTTGTAAAGCCAATTGGTTGCTATTTTGTTTGCACGACGAGATGTTTCTGCCTGAAGTAAACTCTTTTTGATCTTGTGGGCAAGTGTAGGGGAGTATTTGGCAACACATTGATACTCGTGGAAAGTTGGATTACGAGGTGACAAAATTGGTTGAAAACGGTCTCTTTCCAAACTCTCGATAAAAATTGCCATCAACCCAATTGACGTATGTTGTGATAATGGTGGGACAGATGAATGGCCTCCAGGTGTATTAATCCCCACGACGACATCTGTTGACCCCTTTTCACTTGTTCCTGGCAAAGCCAACACGACATCTTCTTCATAAGCTATGCTCTGACCACCTTCATCAATGACAGCATAAAAAGAATCGTTTCCATATCGTTGTGTCAAGAATTGGCCAATGTGTTGAGCCCCACGTTCGCCACCAACTTCCTCATCGAACCCAAACCCAAGAATAATGGTTCTTTTGGGTTTAAAGTTTGACTTGTACAACTCCTCAAGTGACTCTAGCAAGCCAATCAACAAGTTTTTGCAATCAGATGAGCCACGTCCCCACAATTTATCACCGTCGTAAACACCATCATATGGAGGATAAGTCCATTGCGACAAAGTGGACTTTTGTATAGGCACAACATCTTGATGAGCAGTAAGTAAGATTGGTTTCACTTCCGACAGTGGATGTGAGCCATTCCAAGTAATGACAATTGCGTGTGAGTGAACGAGTTCAACTTGCAAATGGGTGAAGACAAGGGGGAATGTCTTGTTGAGATAATCATAGAATGGCGTAAACTTATCATCCCAGTACTTGGGGTCCTTCTCGACTGATGGGTCCTCGTCGAAAACATCGGTTGGTATTTGAACTGCCTTTGATAGTTTCTCCGCTGATACGCTTCTGAAATCTTTGTCAAATAATATCCTCAACACGGTAGAATTGTCCTTGATATATGATTGTGGATATTTGTAGTCGTATTGGTGACAAATTTCGTCTTGTGGTTGATCAAAATACCCCCATGGCGTATTCTTGACGACCCCACTGCTGCTTGTTAGTGCTTGTGGTTGTAACCGTGGCGTTGCAATCGAATAGGTTAATATGAGGAGGACGAGTACCAAAAGCAACAGGACATTGCGACCAGAAACATGCCTTCTAGTTGGCTTGGTCTCTAAACCCAGTTTTGTATCCATTGTGCTCATGACTTATGTATGTTGATAATATCACTGGCTATCGCTAGTGGTGCTGTGGTGGAATATGAATTGCGGGAACTGGCAATTGCGCGCGTTGTGAGAGAGTGTGAAAGAGAGAGAGAGAGAGAGAGAGAGAGAGAGAGAGAGTGTGTGTGTGTGTGTGTGTGTCGCAAAATATAATATTGTGACAATGCTTATCATTTTCTCCTTTTCTCTCTCCTTTTTCTTTGTCTCTTCTCTTAAATAGTGTGGAGAGGAAAAGCTTGAATGAGTGAGTCAGCTATAAGGTATTGTGGAAAAGGCAATTGTAACAGCGCTGACTGCTTCAAACCAACAACAATATAGACCGAGATCATCAGATGTATCACTAAGCTTCAACACACAATAGATATATAAAGACAACTCACTTGCAACAGAGAGAGAAAAAGAGCAAAAGACACAGATATCACCAAAGGAATATAATAATTCAGCAATCAATTTAGATCATCATAAACTCACCAGCCACAGACACATACACACAGACACAGACACAGACACACAGACACACAGACACAGACACACAGACACACACACATCTTATACTACACTCCACCACAACTCTATACTCACTTATACTCACTCATCATGTTGATGGAACTACCATTGGAGATTCAGATGAGGCTCCTATACATGGTGCCACAATCTAACTTGAAGTACATCAATTCCCATTTCTACATCTTGTACAATGACTTATTTTATCACAAGATTGTTGCAGTATTTGGTGACGATACCATCAATGTCATTATCAAAATCTTGCCGTGGCTCAAACCATACATCAAATCCCTTGATTCGTTTCGATATGTCAATAGAATGATTATTGCCAAGAGGTTGACGTTGATAGACAACTTGAATAAGGAGGATGAAAATGTGACGTTTAATATTAATGAGGGTATCAGTGGGCTTAGAGCCATGAAGACGACCCCTGACCATGTTGATTCGGTTAAGCAAGGTTTTTTCAATGAAAGTGGTGGTGGAATTGCGCATCAAGAAGAACACGACCAAGAAGGCGCCCTACTGTTTGTGTCTCTGCCAATGGGCCATAACCCTCTCAATGTGCAGTATGTTAAAGATTCATGGAAATACATCTACTCAGTGTTGAAGAATAAGAGATTGTATGCTGAGTATTCCGACTACAAGATTGATGAACCAAGAAACTATGTCTACAACCATTTTGTGGAGATTAATCGAACTTATTTATTGAGTTATTCCAAGGACGTGTGGTTAGCCCCAGGACAATATAATTTGAATATGGGACTTGCTGTCAAGTATGGTCATGGATTGGGCACTACTAAATTTGAAATAAGATACAATGTTTACGATGAAGATGACGAAGAGGAAACAGAGGACCACGTAATGGAGGCAGAGGCACAATTTTTTGAAACAATCACTCAAGGAAGGCAAGGGACAGGTGCAAGTGCAGGTACAGAGGATAGTACAGAAGTGGCATTACAACAAAATGTGCGAGAAACCGATGTCGACGTGGTTGGTGCAAGAGCTACTTATAACGGTAATAGTAATAACATCCTCAACCATACCAATACCAATCACAATGACAATAGAAACACAATCCTTGCAAATAGATATTTCCGGCCTAATGGTGGAGCCAATGGGGGAGGTGTTGACAGAAGTGTCAATGGATTCATGGATCAAACAGTAGACACAGACAACAACAACAACAACAACAACCAAAATGATGAGAATAATGATAACCCAAACACTTCCAACATTGACAACCTTGTCAATGATACTCGAACTAGTGCCACTGTTACGAAACTGTTTTACCCTCCTACAAACATCAATGACATATTACCCAAGAACCAATTTTGTTTTCTTCGGGTGGCCCAATTTACCATACCTCCCAAAGATAACCAAGAGATGAAGAGAAACAAGTTGCGTAAAGTGACAATTAAAATGGAAGAAATCGGGTTGTATTTGAAGAGTGGGTTTAGGATATACTTTATCGACATTAGCCAACCCTCTATGTTGTATGACGAGTATGATTTGTTGTACTACTCAATCAAGCAAACGGAGTACAAGTATTTTATCAACATTTTATTGAAGAATTTGTATAAAGCATTGAATTATGTTCAGAATGGAGGCACAAGTGGGGGAGAGGGTGGTGATGGTATTGGTGGTGGTGGTGATGATGGTATTGGTGGGGTGGTTGGAGTTGGAAAGTATGGCAGTGGAGATCCTTATGATATATGGGACGAGTATGATAAATCGTTTTTGAAAGAGTACAGTGAAGAAATTGTGAATGATTCAAACTCGGCCTCGATTGTGAAATTGGACGGGTGGCCAACACACAAGAGAACATCCTCATTAAAGCTAGCTGACTCAGTGTCAGCTGTATCTTCCTCGTCATCATTGAGTTCCTTACAGCTACACACCACATTCAAGTACAATTTGAAAAAATTGTCCAATTATGCCAATTTTTATTTCAAGAATACAACTAACACCAAGAGATTCTACAAGTTTAGTACAATTTATCAACAACGGCAGTTTATTAATCGATTTGGAGATTACAATTTGGATTTCAAAGAGCATTTGAGCAGACCACTGCAGCCATTAAGAGAACCGAGTCAAGGGACTCTACTGCAAGAAAAGAAAGTGGTTATGAGTGCAAACCTTGGACACCTGGCGGGAGCTGTTGGGTTAAGAGCTCAGAATAGTAGTGGCAGTGGTGGTAGTCATGGTGGTGAAGATACTGAGGAGTATCGACAAGTTCCTGAGTCGAGGTGTGGCTATGATAAATTGGGATTGAAGTGGAAGATACCGATTGTTGGAGAATTGTAAAGAAAAGGTGTACGTAAAGGATAATTTTGAATAGCTTAGAGCCTAGAGTAGAGCTAGATTTACACAATACGGTGTTTGCGTAGGGAAATAGATATAAACTATTGAATTCGCAATGGGTATATCTCATATCGATTAGCTATTCTAAGATTACGTAGATAGAATTTGTGTTACATTATGTGGGCATGAACGGACCACCGGTTGTAATACACAATATGATTTATCTTACAATACAAAAACATATAGCATAATGTATAGCACATAATATGATATGCTGCCCCAACATAACATAACATAACATAAAAAGTAATGGAAAGACAGAACAAGAGGCAACGTTTGTGTAGTCAAAGAACATTCGATGTTATTCTAAAGAGACAGAGACATAGAGACAGAGACATAGAGAGACAGAGAAAGAGAGAGAGAGAGAAAGAGAAAGACAATTGAATGGAAACTGTCAACATTGTTTGATATGCAGTTGCAGTTGTAGATGTAGTTGCAGTTGCAGTTGAACTCTAATGTAAAATTGCATATATTTGATTGTGGCATGATTATTGTTTTTGTTAGTGATGCTTGGGGGAAATTTTAGTTTATTGCACAAAGACAAAAGGGTTTTGTAGACTTTTTTTTTATTATAATTAGATAACAAAGTTAATCACTTTTGTGGTTATTTTTGAACAAACGCGGGGAATAAGGGGAACTGTTGAAGGAGAATTGAATACTTTGACGCAGATGTATTATGTACCCAGAAATAGAATGGAAGTAGAATTGGGAAAACAGATGACAGAGAACAAAAAACAGAGAACAGAAAACAGAGAGAGAACAAAAGATTTGCAAAACGATTAGTGTGGTACAGAAGTATTCTGCAATAACAATCTACCAAATAACCGTGTAAATATTTAAGCGAGTGCGCACTAACAAGAGCAAGTGTGAACGGAGTGGTAAAATACACACTCACTTCACATATACAGTCGTAGCTGGAGTAGTAACAGCCATATTAAATGTAGGAAGTCCGTCCTTTGGGTGTTTCTTTGATGTAGATACATTGTTGATGTATTATAACCATGTACCGTGTAAAAGAATCTGAAAATGCCAAATCTCAGAGAATATACAGGGTTTGAAATAAAGCATGACAAAATTTGAAGAGGAGGGGTAGGAGAGACTAGAGTTTGTTAAAGGCTACTGCTAATCAGTACAGGCTACGGCTGGTGTTTGTTGTTACTGTTTCTTTTACTTGTTGGTGTTGTGTGTGTTGTTACGAATTGTAACACTGTTACATTTGTAGGCAAACAATTGCATAAGTCCGTGATGAAATTTTGTTGAAAATGATTGCATCCCCAAGCTAATTTGAATAAATGTGAGAGAGGAGTAAAAAGAGGGGGGGGGTGTAGATGAGCAATATCAAGTAAGAAAAAAAAAAAAAGGAACAGAGAGAGCATGAGGAGAAGGGGGTGCAAGTGTAAAACGTCCGGAAAGAAATTTCTCAATTGAGGGGAAGAGCTGTAAACGAAGGATAGATTGTGTGTGTGAATAAAGTGTATAAAGTGTCTGTCTAATGTTATGTAAGAAAGATAAGGAGTTAGGAGTTAGAAGAAAGGGGTGTAGAATCATTTCATTACACACACCCCAACTCTTTCTAGATAAACTTCAATTGATATCTGATGGTATCTTTTGCATGTTAGATTAAGACCAATAATAAGGAGAACGCCTCTTTTTTTTTTTTTTTCCTTCCACCTCGTGAGTTTGAATTAAAGATTTCTATAAACCAGTTTATTGTATCTCTACGTCTGTACTTTATCGGACCGGGATCAAGATCCAACAACAACATATATATTTAGAGACAGAGAAGGTTTCTTTGATTGATTGACTGATTGAGTTGACAGTTATTTCTCCGTCTCAATATTTTATTTTTTTATTTATTGTTCTAACTTTGTAACTCTGATCGAAGCATTTCCTTAAATCACGCATATTACTTGTTAGTTGTATTTATTTGTTATGCAACAGCAGAAGACATAGCAACAAAGAAAAGCGTGACCATCTCAAAGATTCAACACAAAGACGAGTTCTATTAAATGTATCATAAGTAACTGGCTAAACACATTTGGAAAGTTACAAAAGAAAAAAGAATGTTTTACAATTGTCTCACATAACAGACTGGGTAGACAAAAAAACACAAAAAAACACAACACAACACAACACAACACAACACAACACAACACAACCAGTTTCTATTCATATTAACCTGATTGTTGATGATAGGTAATTGTGCACGACTTCACTACCAATCAAAAGATCTGACGATTTGATATGACGATCAAAAACATTACCAGCCAGGGAGAAAATCTTTTGTATATGTGTCCTACATTGGTGAGTATGAGTGAATCGGAAGTGATTCAATCAAGTATGGTATATTGTATTAAGTAATTGTATTGTATACATATCGAAAGCCAGTGTAGACTTACTAAATGAGTGGACAGGAAACATAAAAATCGATATGTATGTACGAAAAAAAAAAATATAAAGAATCACGTTATATCTACTACCACGCACATATATATCTCTATGTACTACTGCTACGGCTATGAGAAAACTACGGTTTTTCTTATTCCACAATTACATGTCGCTAATATGTCGTTCATTGCAATATACTTTTTGTTGTGATTTGAAGGAGTTTTTTGATCCTTTCAGTATGATGGAGTGTATACATTGTGTATCTTTGTTTAGAAGGGGCTGTTTTGAAAAGACATGAACTGGTAGCATTGCAAAGAAAACAAAGAAAAGTGAAAAAAGAAAAGCAAAAGCAAAATAAGAAATAAAAAAATAAAAAAATAAAAAAATAAAAAAATAAAAAAGAAATGGTGGTCAGCAATTTTCCCAATTGTTTAAATTGTTCTTTTGTCACAAAATGGAAGATAGAACAACTAACAAAAATGATATATATACATATATATAAGCAGTTCTATCTTCATTTATTATAAACCCACCAATTGAACCATTTACTATCATCACTCACTCACTCACTCACTCACTGCCATAAATTATATGTTACAGCAGCGTCTCCAACAGCAGTCACAACAACAGCACAAACTTGTAAATACATAATCTATTTAAAATTTCATCTGTTATCCCAACTCCTCTTCCTCAGTCCTTCAGTTTATCACAAATTAATCCTACCTAATACAAGACCATCCTATAGCATACAACGCCACGCTCAACTGACATAGTCTGTCTCATTATACAATCTTATTTTTAGATAAATTTACACATATACATGCCTTGTTAAGCATCACCGCAATATAAACAAAATGTCCAAGTCCCAGGCCAAGTTCCATATATTTAGTAACCTGTCTTCATCAATTGAACAGGATGTTGACTTAAACAGCAATGACAACAACAATTCTTCAAACACAAACAGTGCCGATGGTTATGAAGTTAAAGCTGGAGTTACCGATCAACAAGCACAGCCACATGACCAACAACAACAACAACAACAACCGCAATCACATGAGCAAAAGCAAGGCAAAGATGTTGCTGCCACTCTTGCCACACAATCAACCAACTCATCAACTCCCACTTTGCGTCAACCTCAACCACAATCTCCACAATCACAACAGCAACAGCATCATCAACTCCACGCACACCATTCCCAGCATCTTTTGTCTGGTTCCCCAACCAGAGACGACAAGTTCCACAACCTTGTCAAGAAAACTATCAACAAGTTGAAATTGTCACCCGCTGTACCGAATGCACCAACAGTTGCTTCAGCTTCAGCTTCAGCTTCTACTTCTACAAGTCCCAGTGCATCTCAAAAGCAGCAGCAACAATCACCACAACTGCCACAACTGCAACTGCAACTGCAACTGCAACACCATGTTTCCACCCCATTTGCTCGTTCAAGATACAACTCAGTTGTTTCTTGTAACTCGTCCTCGAGCGATATTTTTGAAAGATCTGTTTCTAATGGTAGTCTACTTTGCAAATTCACCAATCCCGACACACCATTCCACCATAATATAGAAAACTACACCAGTCCAATTTTAGATACAACTGCGGAAATTTTGGTGAATCCAAATATCCAATTAGAACAAGTTAAATTGAATTGTTACTGTGACGATGATGGTACATCCTTGCCGTCACTTGACTCTTTTAAGGGGAAAGATGTCCTTTTCAGTTCAAGCTACAATAATAACCATAGTAATAACAGCTACATTGATGGTAATGCCAGTACAAGTAACGACTGTAACTCTAAACCAACTAATCAGTCGACTCTGAGTTTAACTTCAGCTCCACCTTTTATTCCAGGCTCAAACACTACGTCACCCACATTGAGACCAAGAGCAAGAAGTATCATATCACAGCTGATTATTTCCACGTTGGATAACTCAAAGCATAATAACAACAACAACAACAACAGCAGCAGCAACAACACCACTGCAGGTGGTATTTCCCATCTCAGTAAAGTCAAATCTTCAACTACTACTACTGGTTTAACAAGACCTCATTTGTCAGCTTTGAGATCCTCTAGCTTTGCAGGAACTACTTGTCTTTTGCGCAATAAGCCCTCAACCACCCATCACGACTCCAACACAGGTCCACAAGGGAAATCAGCAATATTAATTAACAGAAAGTCGTCGCCCAAATTGGCCAGTTTGGTGACAAGATCATCTTCTGGTATTCAGTTGGCGGCGTCTCCCACATTATCAACCCACTCCGCCACATCGCCAACATTGGCCAACTCTGCTATAAAAGCGAAGCCAATTGCAGAATCCGAAGCAAAGTATACTCACTCACCTACAACTAAAAGAGGAGCAACTACCGCTGCCAAACATCACCGACCAACTGATCCACTGCAACCTCCTGTGATTGATTTCTATTCGTTTGCTGATATGTGTACTCATGAAGACGAAGAACTTGCTCCAAGTGTAGCAGAGATTGGTGAGGAAAGACACAAAGCGGATGCGCACCGAGGTGGTGGTGGTGTATCTTCCAACGACGATACTGATGACGACGAAGACGACGGGGTTGACCCACTTGATGATGCCAACATCCAAGAGTTTGGTTTCAACGGTATTAGCAGTGGTGGCAGTGGTAGTGGCTTCCTCAGTGGCAGTATTCGTGATGGATCGATTTCCACTAGTGGTACCATGTTTACAAGAGAAGTGCCTGCTAGAAGGGGTAGCTATGCTACGATCAGTGCTAAGGATTACATAGGTGTTTTATAAGGAGATGTGTTCTATTTATTTTCTGTGTTTTGTTGATAAGAAGCGTAACGAGCGTGTCCATAGTAATGACATCGATTATATGGTAATACAATTCTGCTAATATCTTCTGACCAATGTGCCTTTACTGGCATCGTCTCGGAAATCGCATTCAAACTCATACGTACTAACACAAGTGTAGTTTTAGTAAAGGACGGCAATGATTATATCTCTCCCTACGTTGGCTTGAAGAAAGTTGATGCCTGTATTAAATACTTGTGATCAAAGTCACGAGTATTGTCGTAGATTTAAAGTTTGCGACGTAAAATTGCAAGACACACACGACACATCAAAGAAAAGGAAAATTTTTTTATTTTAATTTTTACGACAAACGAAACCAAACGCATCAACAAGACAATTTTTCTTTTTTTTTTTTTTTTCCTTTTTTAAACGTTGACCCAAACGAAAAATTATCACTCTCAACCAACCAACCAACCAACCAACTAGTCCCCGCATCAACCATCAATCTACTACTTGATTACATCACAATTGACTAACCAGACTACTAGTCTTACCCTTCTACATCAATCACCACCCATCTATATCCAAACAAAAAATTTGCTGGAGTATTATCACTTTTGCATACTATTACCTCCTCTTCCCACCTCCATCTTTTCTCTTGTGCAAAAGATAGACCAAAACCGAATCAGGACTGATCAATATCACACACATAAAAATATTTTCATCACATAAAGAAACCAAACTTTTCACAATGACTGAATCTTTATTCGACACTAATTTTACCTCGGAGAACGAACCAAAATTGACGAATACCACCAGTGGTATTCAGCCCGCCACCCAAGCTCAACCGCAGGGTGGAAGCCAAGGCATTACACCAAACAATGCTGACCACAGCAACGCAGGCAGCACCAATGCTACAGGTAACTCCCCTGCTGCTAGCAACTCTCATGCGGTACATTCAACGACAGCCCCAACCACCAACGATGGCGCAGACCATCAAGAACACCATGATCACGACCACGACCACGACCACGACCACGATCACGATCACGATGGCGAATACGACCAATCCACGTCCTTGCCATCATTGGATGACAACTCAAATGCCGATGCATTGATAAATTACCGTGTTTTGGTATCGGCAAAGGAAGCTGGATGTTTGATTGGACAAAATGGGAAAGTCATTGACTCAATCAGAGAAGAAACAAACACCAAAGCCGGAATATCTCGATTGGTTCCCGGTACACATGAACGTATCTTGACCGTATCTGGAAAATTGGATGATTGTGCTAAAGCGTTGAGTTATTTTGCTCAAGCTTTGCTTGGTTCATCAATTGAAACGTACAATTATTTCCCATTGAAACAATTGAGCTCAATTCCATGTGTTGAGCATGAGACTACCATATTGAGACTATTGATTCCCAATAGTCAAATGGGTACATTGATTGGTTCCAAAGGTGCAAGAATTCAACAAATTCAACACAATTTTGCCATTTCCATGATTGCTTCGAAATCATTCTTGCCTGGATCAAATGAAAGATTAGTTGAGTTACAAGGGACTGTTGATGACTTGTATGATGCTTTACGAGTCATTTCTCGTTGCTTAATTGAGGACTTTTCATCAAGCGTCGGCACTACTACCTACTATGTCCCCAAGAGTCATCAATTGACCAGGAAATCAACTGCCACCATCAGCTTCCCCAATGACATGGTGGGAGCTTTGATTGGTAAGAACGGTTCAAGGATCCAGGGTGTTAGAAAAGTTAGTGGTGCAATGATTGGAATTGGCGAGGCTGTGGAAGGCTCAAATGAACGTGTCTTCACTATAACTGGTACTCAACCAGCGGTTGAAAAAGCCAAGCTGTTGTTGTATCATAATTTGGAAAGAGAAGAACAAAGAAGAGCTGAAGCAACTGAGTAAACTGTGATTACTGGATTTGGAACCTCTCCACTTTGCTTTTGCCTATGATTTGATTGTGAAAGGTCAAGAAATTGATGTAAAAAGAAAACATTTTACACTTGTGTATTTTCCCATATATCACCATCCCATCTATCTTTTTATATTAAGTCTATAAATGTATGTACTATTTTCGAACACAGATTGTCTTTTGAAGCAGAGTACGTTTGTATTTAAAGTAAGAGTATCCCTTTCAGAAGCTTTTGCTTAATAGCTTGGCCAATTGTTCCAAAAACTCCTTATCAACCTCATCAAACCCATTAAAATCAAGACAATCCAAGTCAATAACTGCCACTGCTCTGCCACCCTCATCATCAGAGTTAAACGAACCCTCTTTTATGATAGGCACAACAATCTCCGACTTTGTCTCACCATCGCATGCTATATGACCGGGAAACTTGTTGATATCGGGTACAACTTGAGTTTGGGCTGTCGATGCGGCTGTTCCACATACTCCTTTACCCCATTGGATCGATTGGCAGGCGACTTTACCCTGGAATGGGCCTAGAAGCAATTCAACGGAGGAAGTAGCAAAAGAAGGAGAAGAAGAAGAAGAAGAAGCGGTGGTTGAGGTAGTTGCTGAGGAGGTTTCTTTGTGTGATTCGTGATTGAGTTTCTCTTGATGGTTTGTGGTGCTGATATGACGAACTTGATAATTCTGGCTGGTGTAGAATCCCGCCCAATTCACATTGATGCCCAATGAATGGTATGCGTGCCATAATAGAGATGCACAATTGGACAAGTTGGATATCAAATACGGAGTTTCGAGGGCCGAGTAAGCATCAAGTAGCTGTTGAAGTGTTTCGCGTTTGGTTTTGGTTTCGGCCGAGGAAGGATTCGAGAAGTTCGTGTAGTCGGCGTGATGGACCATTTTTCTTGCGATGGGTTGTGCTATTGATGTTTCGTTTCTGGATGTGTGTGTGTGTGTGCGTGTGTGTGTGGTGGTGTGATGTAGGAATGATGTGGTGGCTCCTTCTGAAAAAAAAAAAAAGCACTCGTTTTCATTTTCGCCATAGATTCCAGATAAATTCTGATTGCAATACTTGATTAACGGTACACTATTCGACATTAACACGTTAGCTACTTCAAATCAATGATTGGACTACATGGTTGGCACTTTACAAGGAGTTTTCCACAGAAAAGCCGTTATTACACTTACCCAAATCCAAATGTCAAGCTTTTTCCCTACATAGTGTAGCAAAAAAAATTGAATACACACACACAAATTATCACCAGTATCCATGAGTATCTATTGGGCTGTCACTTGGGATCAAATGCAAATTTAATGTAAACTTCACCTTGTTTAACAATAAGGTCTCTGTCTCTGTAATGCAAACTACTTAGCTTTGATATATCACATCAATCCAAATCCTTGAATATGGAAGCTACACGAAACAACAAAGTCAGCTTTCATAGCTTACACAATTCTCTGGATTCGTGTCTCATATAAAACTTTCTAATAACCTTCTTGCATTAAGTTTTCTGATGTTCCCATGAAATACTTTCTAGGAACTTCTTAGACAACTATGATAGTCAATAATTTAAGAGGTATGATTGATATTTATTTGACTCTGGTACTTGCGTCAAAACTCATGATAATTCTACTCTATCAAAATCTGTATTTGTGCGATTTAGGAACAGAAATCCATACCAGAGTATACACTCAATTAAACACTGATTTCACCACACACCATCTGACACCAACACATTAGCCACTTCAAATCCACAGTTGAGCAACATCACTGATGTGGTGCAAGTCACCTCTCAGAGACTAGCCGTTCCTGCACTCGTCATTCCAAACTACATACTTTTTGAGATGTATGTGTGGGTCTTTGGAGTTTGATGGGATTGTCACACTTGTAATAGTAACTCAGTTTCTGTATCTGTTTTTAGCTCGGGTCCAACGGAGTCTAGCACCAGGTTCTCAGTGTCTGTAACTGCTCAAGTCTAATCCTGCTTCCCATAACGACCAGTTACCATAATTCGGAGACGATGCCCTTCAAATACTGCCCAATGGCTCTCAAAGGTTCATTATCTTACCTTCCACCAGTGCATCTGCCATGGTATCCCCGCAACTCAAGAACAATGACTCACTTGCTGTGACAAGGACTCTTCAGTGGAGGCCATGTGACGGTATCAATACCCTACATCGGCATATCCACCCAAAATCAAGCTGTGATTACTTTCGAAAGAGTGATATGTTTCCTTACTTTCCTTGACAATGGAAGATGAATCGGCACCAGATGCAAGTACCGGTTGGTTGTTTGCATTCTTTCTATGCAATAATTTTCAAACCATAATTTAGATTCACACCTCAGCTAAGCTTTAACAAAAGCATCAACAGTCTCATTTCAACGCAACAT